AGTATTAGGAGAATTAAAATGAAAAAAATATAAATTTAATTTTTTAAATTAATTTAGAGAAGAATTTAGTAGTTTAGAGAAGTAATTGTTTTAACAATTTCCGAATAATTATTGTTGTTATTAATAACTTTATTATGTTATTTTGCGCATGAATATATTTTTTTCATTTTTCTCGAAAATTCCCTTTCTGTTATTTATCAGTAATCAGCAGAGCGAAGATTATATGTGTGTGGTAATTACTATTGTAAGTCATGTTGATAATTATTACAAAAAACAACAATGTAATTAAGTAATTTGGAGATTGCAACAACAACAAAGACAATGATTTGAGAACACATTTTATTTGGAATCAAAAATTTGAAAACAAATGATAATAATAAATTTGATTACCTTTACTTCACGTGGAAGTCATATAAATAAATCACAAAAAAAAACAAATTCAAACATGTTTTAAACCCTGAGGGCTGGCTACGTTATAAGAAAAAAATTAATAAAAATCGTGATTAGACAGTGAGTAATATTTTCTTCCGATTTTATATAAATGATGCAACAAAGTCCCTATATATATTTCGATTTGCACGAAATTTGGCACAGCGTAATGAATTAGGTCTAGAATGATGTGTGTTAAGTTTCCTGGAAACCGGTTCAGATTTAGATAGAGCTCCCACATATATTTTCGTCCGATTTAATGTAAATTTTACACCAAAGTCCCTATATATCCTTCGATTTACCCGAAATTTGGCACAGCGTAATGAATTAGGCCTAGAATGATGTGCGTTAAGTTTCCTGAAAATCGGCTCAGATTTAGATATAGCTCCCATATATATTTTCGTCCGATTTTAGATAAATGGTCCACCAAAGTCCCTATATTTTTTTCGATTTGCACAAAATTCCGCATAACGTAATGAATAAGGCCTAAAATTATATGCGTTAAGTTTCCTGAAAATCGGCTCAGATTTAGATATAGCTCCCATATATATTTTCATCCGATTTTAGGTAAATGGTGCACCATAGTCCCTATATATACTTCGATTTACACGAAATTTGGCACAACGTAATGAATAAGGCCTAGAATGATGTGTGTTAAGTTTCGTGAAAATCGGTTCAGATTTAGGTATAGCTCCCATATATATTTTCGTTCGATTTTATGTAAATGGTACACCAAAGTCCCTATATATCTTTCGATTTGCACGAAATTCGGCACTGTGTAATGAATTAGGTCTAGAATGGTGTGTTAACTTTCTTGAAAATCGGTTCAGATTTAGATATAGCCCATATATGTGTTCGCACTGCACTATTTTTCATATTTCTTCAGAATATTTTTCTGAAAAATATAGGAAATATTAAAACCTGGGTTATAAAAAAATTGTGGGGGAGATTTTCTCAGATTTTTTTTTTTTTTTTTTTGAAAAAATCGAGATTTTAATACTAATCACCGATTTTTATGACATCCTCTTCAAGAAGTGTACATGCTTTGTGTAACAAATTTTGTAAATCATTTTCGTCCTTGAGATATATTTCGTTTCTGTTGTTCTTCTTTGTTTTCATTTTTTTACTGCAGCTTCTTATTCTAGGTCATGACTGTAACCTGTCGGAATATTTTAGCATATTAAACCAGTTACAAATGAAACAATGCAAGGGCTCAACATGTACCGTGGCATATTTTTTTAGTTGTTGTTGTTAAAAGACAACAACAATTTATGTAGTTTTATGGACCTAAAAGGGCATTTTGTTACAAAAGAAGAAGAAGATGTGCCGTAACTAAATGTCGATAATTATATTTCCTTATCATGGCAGAGGCAAAAAACTGCATAAAACAACAATGAAAACAACAACAACACTGAATAGTTAACAATTCAAGTTCATTAATTACAAGACAGATTGTTTTTTATCTTGATTTTTTTTTTGTTGAAAGGGAGACAATACAAAAATTCCCAAGAAAAAATACCGAGACCCTGTACTTGAAAAAAAAAATTGAAATTTTTGTTGGTCGTTTTTTCAAATGTTATCTTAATTTTTTGATTTTTTTTAAGGTATTAAGATTTTGCTAAATCATATTTTTTAAACTAAATATGATTTTCATTTTCTTATCTTCATTGGGTGGTTGAGCATTTTTTTATTATTTAATATCATGTAATAAATTTGAACCGAAATTAAAAACAATTTTTTTTTTTTTTTTTGGTAATTAAATTTTTTTTATGAGGTGGTAGGAAGCACCTGCTGGCAGAGCATTTACTACATATGTATGTATGTATGTGCAGACCCTAGAGTTAGACTAGTTTTAAAATTCCCCATAGCACCGCAATAATTTATGTGAGACAAAATGTTTTATTATCTGCTGTACATTTAAAAAAAATGTGTGTGTCTGATTCGGTTGGTGCGAAAAACATTGTTAAACGCTTTGCAGCTACCGTAAATATAAATATTTTAGGTTTTTTATTTTAAGTTTTTTTTTTTTTTTTTTTTTTTGTTTTAATTTTTTTGTTAAAACAATTTATATTTACACCTCACATTCAGGCAATTGAAACATTGTGAAATTAGATCGCCCGCTTGACACATGTGTTTCGTTCGTTACGACTTTCGGTTTCAAAGTTTTTTTTTATTTTAAATTTTCTTCCACCACAATCTTCCCCAACATGACGACAGCGAACAATCGCGCGACCTCATTGGAAAAGTAAACAATTTTTTTCGTTTTTGTAAACTTGAACGAAACAGCAAGGTGTAAAAAGAAAGACATTGACGGCGACGACGATAGGCAAGCAGCGACTATTTTCACAAAATATGTAAATTTTCCCTGAGAGTTGAAAATTGGCGGGTTGGGGGGATTTATTTTTTATTGCTCGCCAACACTGATAAGTGAAATGCCGTCGCCGCCGCGCGCCTTGACTTCATTGGAGTTTTAAACATAAAATTCAAAGATTATCAATTTCTTTGTTTTTATTTATTTCGTATGTTAATTTGAATGTTTTCTTAATACCCAATATTATTACTATTTGTAACTTTCGAAAAACAACAATTATTTTCTAAAATTAAAAAAAAATCGACTAAATTCATTCAAAAAATTCCAACTTGTTTTAAATAAAAAAATTTATAACAAAAACAAATTCAGTACGTTATACCAAATTTCGTTCAAATGGAAAGAAATATAGGGCCTTTGGTGCACAATTTACCCAAAATCGGACGAAAATATATATGGGAGCTATATCTAAATCTAAACCGATTTTCACGAAACTTACCACACATCATTCTAGACTTAATTCAGTAAGCTGTGCCAAATTTCGTGCAAATCGAAAGATATATAGGTACTTTGGTGCACCATTTACATTAAATCGGACGAAAATATATATGGGAGCTATATCGCAATCTGAACCGATTTTCACGAAACTTAGCACACATTATTCTAGACTTAATTCAGTACGCTATGCCAAGTTTCGTCCAAATCGAAAGATATATAGGGGATTTGGTGCACCATTTGGCCAAAATCGAACGAAAATACATATGGGAGCTATATCTAAATCTAAACCGATTTTCAAGAAACTTGGCAAACATCACTCTAGGCTCAATTCTGTACGTTATGCCAAATTTCGTGCAAATCTAACGATATATTGGTACGTAAGTGTACCATTTACCTTAAATCGGACGAAAGTATATATGGAAGCTATATCTAAATCTGAACCGATTTTTATGAAATTTAACACACATCATTCCAGACCAAATGCATTACTCTGTGCCAAATTTCGTACAAATCGAAGGATATATAGGGACTTTGGTACACCATTTACATAAGATCGGTCGAATCTATATATGGGAGCTATATCTAAATCTGAACCGATTGTCAGGAAACTTAACACACATCATTCTAGACTTAATTCATTACACTGTGCCAAATTTCGTGCAAATCGAAAGATATATAGGGACTTTTGTGGACCATTTACATTAAATCGGACGAAAATATATATGAGAGCTATATCTAAATCTGGACCGATTTTCAGGAAACTTAATATACATCATTCCAGACCTAATTCATTACGCTGTGCCAAATTTCGTGCAAATCGAAAGATATTTAGGGACTTTGGTGCACCATTTACATTAAATCGGTCGAAAATATATATGGGAGCTATATCCAAATCTAAACCGATTTTTCTCAATTTCAATAGGGTTCGTTCTTGGGCCAAATAAGTGACCTATGCCAAATTTCATCCAAATCGGATCAAAAATGCGACCAGTACTTTGTTCCCCAATGAAGGAATATAATGGAAGTTCCTTGTTGGAAACGGAACTAAGAATGAACGGGTTTTTGCAAATTTACGAAATAAAATGTTTGAAGTACTTACCTTTTTTTCGTTGAAACGGTTCTATATCTGAAATATATAAAAAAAAATAATTAACAAAAATATTTTTTAAATTTTTCAAAAAAAAAAATATTTATAAAAATGTAAAATTTTTTCTATAAAAAGCACAATTTCCTTTACAAAAAAAAAATATTTTAAAAACATAGCCACTATCAAAACCAAAACTCAATTTTCAAAACAGATGTGCTTGACTTGGCATGAATAAAAAAATATTGGAATTTTTTTCATGTGTTTAGCATAAACCCCCTGTTAATAAATTTGAAAAAAAAATCTTGTCATTTGTCTATTTTTGAGAAACTACCACCAGCAATCAATAAACCAAATTTTATACAAACAAAACCCCCAATAAAATTTATAACATTTTTTTAACAATGTTTAATGACAAGTGGTTTTGTTTTTAAACGACATCAGGTTATTTGAATATTTAATTATGTCAAATCTTCTTCTTCGCTTTTTTATGTTAACAAGAATTAGCATGTTTATTATAAAGGTTTCCAGATAAAATATTTGATTATTTGTTGTGTGACATAAATTAAGGGGGGGATTTTTTTTAACATAACAAACAAATAAATCTTTTTAAGAATTATGTTTGTTTTTTGGAAAAAATAAATAATTAATAATTTTTTTAAATGTTTGTTGTCTTTGCAGCCAAAACCAGGTTTCGAACCGGACACAGCATCGCTGAGAGAGAAAGTTATATTGAATCCTGCTGAAAAATGGCGTATATTGAAAAATATTGGCATTATATCGTTAGCCTTTATGGTGCAATTTACAGCGTTTCAGGTAAATAAATTAAAAAAAAAAAAATAATTAAAAAAAATTTTAAATAAAAAAAAATAATTTAAAAAAAAATTTAAATTAAAAAAAAATTAATTAGATAAAAAAAAATTATTTGAAAAATTTAGAAAATATATTTTTTAAAAAATTAAATTTTATAAAAATTAAAAATTTTATAAAAAATAATAAATAATAAATTTTTATATTATACTAAATTTTTTTATTTTCAAAATTTTCTTTAATTCCCTCCATTTTTTTCTATTTCCTAATCCATTCCAGGGTACAGCTAACTTACAGTCATCGATAAATGCCACCGATGGTCTC